GTCGGTTAAGCGTCCGACTTCGGCTCAGGTCACGATCTCGCGGTCCGTGAGTTCGAGCCCCGTGTCGGGCTCTGGGCTGATGGCTCAGAGCCTGGAGCCTGCTTCTGATTCTGTGTCTCCCTCTCTCTCTGCCCCTCCCCCGTTCATGCTCTGTCTCTCTCTGTCTCAAAAATAAATAAATAAACATTAAAAAAAATTAAAAAAAAAAAAAAAGAATGATGTTGGCAAGCAAGGAGAAGCAGAGACAAGAGACAGAAACCCCTTAAGACATTTGATTGGTGCATCAACTCGGGGCTGAGACCGATTACCTTGTCCCGGTCTGAGTAAAGAACGGGTTATTTGCAGCCAATGAGCCCTACCTAAAACACTTTTCTTTCCACTTTGCCTTAGAGAGGCCTCCCTGAGATCTGGGTTCAAAGGGGTCTGCTGGGAACAAAGTGAGTCCTGAGGCCTCAAGGGCTCCAGGAAAGATCTGGAACATTCTCTATTTCCACTGAAGCTGACCCGCTTCGGCCAAGGCAGCCTGGTGTTGCCCACAATGCCAGCCCCAGGGCAGGCTCCGAGGGGCCATCACGCAGGGATGTCTTTTATCCAGGACTTCCTCCTGGATAAAAGCATAGGCGTGATTGGCTCCTAGCTGCCAGAGAGCAGAGGGTCAAATGAACCTCCCGTTCCACTGGGGGGCTGAAGTCTCCCTTGGGCGAGCAGTGATACCCGGAGAACCATCCCGTGTCCTCAGTTCTTGCTCTGAGACAAGACACGCACCGGCCCGCTTCCTTCTCTGCTCAGCGCCAGCCCCGCGGTTCTGGGAGAGCTTGTCCCCCGGCCCCACTGCCCCTTCCAACTTACACAGGCTGCTTCACGCACTTGCTCACACAGGCGCTTGGCAGGAATGAGGAAATCCAGGAGGAAGCTCAGCCCATCCCCCTGGAAGTCAGAATCCAGGAGACGGAATACCTGCCCCAGGATGGTGGGCGCTGTGGCCTCAAAAGGGGGATAGAGGCCTGCCAGGGCGTGCTGAATGGCTGTGTCCAGGGACGGGGGGTCCTGTAGGGGATAGGAGGAGAGTGTGAAAAGTGACAGTAGCAGCAATAACATGACCGAGGCCTCTGACCTCCCCTGCACCCCTCAATCATGCCCTCCAGCCACACTGGCCTTCTTTCCTGTTCCTCAAACACAGCAGGCACCGTTCCACCTCAGGGCCTTTGCACCGGCTGCTCCCCCCTGCCTAGAATACTCTTCCTCGAGACATCCTCACTCCCTCACCTCCTGCAGGTCTTTGCTCAAATGTCACCCACAGGCTCAAGGCAGAGTGGAGGAAGAGTAAGGGGGGATTCAGGTCAGGGCCCGAAGGAAAGGGGAGCTCAGCGTCCGTAAGTCCCACCACCTGACAGACCTGCAGACCTTGTCTGAAGCCGAGCGGCCAGTGAAGCCCAACCTGCAGTCGACACGCAGGTGCGTCAGCATGCGGGTGCGTGAGTGATAATAAATAATTGTTGCTTTTTACCACTGAGTGTCGGGGTGGTTTGTTACACAGCGGCAACTGATGAATGGAAGTTACTGTAGCTGCCTCGTGAGTTCCTATATCCAGACTCACATAACCAGGTGCCTCCTGGATGCCTCCCCTAGATGTCCATCGGGCACAGATCATCAACACGTCAAACCCAACTCAATACCTCCCTATACCTACCCTTCCCCCATGTCCCTACCTCAGTGATGGCCCCACGGTCCACTCAGACTCCCAGAACTCTGCTCATCATCCCGCCCCTCCTCTTGCCTCCTCTATTCACACACAATCCTCAGCCATGTCCTATAACTGTCTCACCTCCAGAGTTCACCAACTTGCCCACTCAACCCTGTTGCCCTGTGCCCGCCCTGACTCAGGCCTCTGGCTCTCCCACTCAATCCCCTCCTCATTGCCGTCCAATCTCTAGGCTGCCTCACTTCCAACCATGCTAGACCAGGACCCCACAGTGACTTCCTCAAATGCAAAGCTGATCACGGATGTATCATGCTCAAAACCCTCAAAGGCTCCCTCCCCATGGCCTTTAGGAAAGCACTGGCCTCCAGGCATTCAGGTCCCCTGTGATCTTGGCATCCCATACTCAGCCTCCCCACCCCCTCCCCGGCCAGCCTCTCTGCCTCTCTCATGCTTCAGCCACAGTGCATTCTCTCACTCACCTCTGGGCCTTTGCACATGCTGTACCTTCCTCCTGGGATGCCTTCCACTTCCACTTCCTCTCCACCTGGCTAACTCACCCGTCAAGATTTGGGTCAGCCCTCATCTGTTCCGTGGGATTTTCTCTGACTTCCTTCTCCCACACCACCCGAGTCAGGCGCCCCCTTTCCTGGGCTTCGATGGTGCCCCTATCATAGCAGTTTCCACCCTGATTGCCATCCCGCTCAAGGACTCTAGACTCCCTGAGGACGGGAATGGTAAGCAGAATAATGCCCCCCCCCCCCAAAGGTGCCCGTGACCTAATCTCCAAAACCTGTCCATATGCTACCTCATAAGGCAAAGAGGAATTGAAGCTTCAGATAAAATCGTCATTGCCAATCAACTGGCCTTCAAATAGGGACGGTTTCCTGGGTTTTCCAGGTGGGCCCCACGCAATCGCAAGGGTCCTCCAAAGTGGGAGAGGTACCGGAGAGGTGAGCGTCAGGGGGGAATGTGATGAAAGAAAGATCCGAGAGATGTGATTGTCTCTGGCTTTAAAAACGGAGGACGGGCCAAGGAATGCAGGCTGCCCCTAGATGCTGAGAAAGGCGAGCTGACTCTCCTTTGGAGTCTCCTGGAAAGAATGCAGCTTGCCCACCCCTCGATTTAAGCCCAGCGAGCCCCGCGTTGGACTTCCGATCTACAGAACCGCCAGGCAATAACTGTGTGTTGCTTTAAGCTACCGAGTCTGTGACCACCCTCAGCAGTGACAGAAACTACCAGAGCAGGCACTGGCTTCTCTTCATCTGGGGTCTCCCATTCCTGGCACAGGGCCTGGGCCAACATAGGGGCTGAGTCGATGTTGTGGAAGGACAAACAAAATGTCCCTCTCTGAACCACAACGTTTTCCATCTGTAAAAACAGCTTGGACAAGACCAGAGGTTTCTGACCAAGTGTAGTAATAGAAGCCATGGGTTATGGTTTTCAAGTCTTAAAAAGCCTAATGGAAGCCAGGCTGGGTGGCCCAGACTGATTGCAAGCTCTGGGTCCATCTGTCACAGAGGGATGTAAGGGAAGATGAGAGTAAATAAGATTCCCACACAAAGGAGCTTATTTAAGACAGAAAAAACGCTTTTTTTTTTTTTTTTTTTTTTTTTTTTTTACAAATGAGGTCCCTTGAATCGGGGAGATTAAACAGGGACTTGGAGGAGGAGGAACAGGGCACTACTCTACCTCAGTAAGAGTCCAATGCCAGGAGGCTGTAAAACAGGGACGCTAGCCCATGGCGTCTGGACAAGTGTCCCTGTCACCGTTCTGTCCCCAGCACCCACACAGCGTAGGGCCCCCATTACTCTCTGCGGGAGGAATGAATGAATGTCTGCAACCCCCATTCTGAAGGAAGGAGGGTCTTGCCCCCGATGTGGCAGAAACCCAACGGGGATGATGTATTGCAGGCAGGCACTTGATGACAAAATTGCGCGTGCCCCGGAAGGGCTATTTTCACACTGAGGGGCCAGGTAAGGGGGGAGGGGGACGTCTTCGATTTGGCAGAGTAAGGAAAGGCTCCTCTGGCCAGGCGACCTCTCCTAATGCTCTTCCCCTCCAAAGCAAGGCCAAACCCTAATAGTTACCCCCTCACCCACGCAATCACGAGGACGGCAGTGGGAATGGGGACCCAGAGTTAGAGGACCCCGTCTGACATCGGTGAACACACACACACACACTAAGTCAGGTAAGCCCGGCCACACGCCCTCCCGCTCGACCCAGCCTCTCTCGGGGCACTCCCTTTCCTGGGTTCCCCTTCACTGTGCCGCCTTGAGTAGATGCCTTCCCTCTCTGGGCCTCTTTTCTCCTGTGCACATTGCATTGGGCTAGGTTTGTTTCATCTTGGTTTTGGAAATTCAATCATTCACTGGCATCGTCACGAATTTTAGCATCTCCAAGTACCATTTGCATTATGGGCGCTTACTGGTTTGTCTGTGTGTTGTGTTTGCGAATCCACTCACTTTTTTAAAAGCTTACATAATTGCATTCTAAATGCCTCCATACTGGTTATGAGAATGCAGCCGGCCTGCCCGAGTTCAAATCCCGGCTCTTGCCACTTCCTGGTGCTGGGACTTTGCAAGCTGCTGAGCCCTCTCTCTCCGCTTCAACTTCCGGGAAATCGGAGCCTGTGATCGTACCTGCCTTAAAGAGCTGAGGGGGACAGAATGATCTGGGACACGCAGGGTCTCTGCACAGGCCTAGCGCTTCGCAGGTGCCCATTCAGCCATAGCCATTGCTGCCATGTTTCTGGCCATTACCAGGGCTGTCATCGTGTTATAAGGAAAAAATCAGCATCAACTGGCATAAATAGAATGGAACTCCGAAAATAAGCCAAAGAGGCTTTGGGTGGTTTTTACATTATTCCATTTGTATTTATTATATATACTTACTAGAGAGCTATAGGATATACCTTGTGTCAGTATATAGTTACATCAATAATGTACTCTATAGGGGCACCTGGGTGGCGCAGTCGGTTAAGCGTCCGACTTCAGCCAGGTCACGATCTCGCGGTCCGTGAGTTTGAGCCCCGCGTCGGGCTCTGGGCTGATGGCTCGGAGCCTGGACCCTGTTTCTGATTCTGTGTCTCCCTCTCTCTCTGCCCCTCCCCCGTTCATGTTCTGTCTCTCTCTGTCCCAAAAAAATAAATAAACGTTAAAAAAAAAATAAAAAAAAAAATAATGTACTCTATAACTATATAACAAATACACATCTGTTATGTAAAATATATCCCATCTTTACTGTTCTCGTTCTACAAAAGTAAATTACTTTTTAGAAGAACAAGTAAGCCATGAGAACAAATACATTTTCCAAATGAACTTCTAGGACATCTGGTCACCTCCTGAAGGCTCATTAAGGTTCTCTTTGCGTTAGAAAGGTGGTAATGGTAAAGACATCTTATCGTGAGAGGGGGGGTTTTCGCTGGGGGTCCTCAGAAGATCAGAGGGAAGCTCAAAGGGACCGAGTCTCCCAGCACACGGTCCCCCGCGTTATTTCGCTCCGGTCCGTGACAGCGTGTGGCCCAACCTTGGCCTGCATGCCAACCTCTGGGCAACAGCAAACTAAACCATCTCTGCCATGACATGCCTGAGTTTCCCCATCTATAAACGGGGATTCTAGAATTATCCTATCTTGCTCCGATGATTGTTCTGCAGGTGCCGGGGTGATGACGGATGTAGGGGTCCCACGAAAAGGAAAAGGTACGACCGCCTGTTTTTTATTTTTACTGCTCCTGTCATACCGGCCTAGAGTCCCCGCCTCTGTGTGAAGACAAGACCCCCTCTTGATCCCTTCCTGAACCCACTACCGTTACCCCAAGAACAGCAACAGCTTCCAGGCACCTGCTGGGCACCAGGCCCTGTGCTCACATTCTCTTGCTTCCGCACATGATCGGACTGGAGCAGGGAAGGAACATCCCACTTTGCAGATAAAGAAGCCAAAGGTTGGGGCGCCTGGGTGGCGCAGTCGGTTAAGCGTCCGACTTCAGCCAGGTCACGATCTCGCGGTCCGTGAGTTCGAGCCCCGCGTCAGGCTCTGGGCTGATGGCTCAGAGCCTGGAGCCTGTTTCCGATTCTGTGTCTCCCTCTCTCTCTCTGACCCTCCCCCATTCATGCTCTGTCTCTCTCTGTCCCAAAAATAAATAAACGTTGAAAAAAAAAATTAAAAAAAAAAAAAAAAAGAAGCCAAAGGTGATCTTGTCCAAGGTCGCAGAGAGGAGGGGAAAGACAGAGCCAGCATCCAACGCAGCCTTGGCCAGTCCGGTGCGCTCTCTTCCCCTGCCCCCAGTGCCTTGCCTGTCTTGGGGCCACGAGCAGCCACCAGCCTTTGGGGCGGCCTTCCCAGCTGCCTGTCTTCCAGTGTTTCAAGCAGGGCCCGAAGAAGTTGTTTGCTTCTCGAACACTAAAGTGCACAGATGGGACGCCTTTGGCTTTCGCAAATTGGCTCACTGGCCACACGCTTTAACCGTTTAAGGGGCGGCCAGTAAAAAACAAGAATGTTCCAAGTTAATGGGGCTCCAAGCTCTTGGCCAGAGCTTTACCTGCTACGGGCCCGCACCCCAGGGCGTCATAAGCTGTCCAAGTACGGGATAACGAGCCCAGGAGCCTGCAGGAAGGAAAGCTGGCCACTCTCCCCTCAGAATCAATCGGGCAGCCCTGCCCGGGACCGCAGGAACCCAAACACCGTTGGCCAGACGTGGGCCCCTCAAAATGATTTCCGTGAAACTTAATCGATGTGTTTCCATTCCTTCCCAGTGAGTGTAGCCAGGCTGGGCCTTTAACTGTTCCTCGGCAGAAGCCAGCGTGAAGCTGGAAAGGGAGAAGGTGAGACAAGCCAGAGCCGTCTGTCCTCAGCCCTCCAGCCCCTCCCAGGCAGGAGACAAGGAGCCCCCTGTGGGGGGGCGGGGGCGCAGAACTATGTGTGACGTGCAGGGGCCTTCTGGGTGGATTCGGGGAACCTGGTATGGAGCTCAAGGCCACATAGAAAAGTGTCTGTCCCCAGTGGTTCCCTCTGGGTATGAGAGGAGCGGGGAGGAAAGGGGTTTCTAGAATTCTGTGTCAGCCTCTTGCAAGGAGCCTCCATTATTATTTTACAGTAAAATAAACGAGGTCGATGCATCTTTACCTACGTGCATATCCCTGTGACCACTACCCAGGTCAACGCACAGGATCTCACCAGCCCAGAAAACGGCTCCCTCCCCGGCACGGCCCTCACCCCGAAGGTAACTACTCTTCCGACTGTTGGGAGTTTTTAAAAGAAAAATTTCCATGCAGTGCGATCTCCGTTGCGTAAAAACGCGTGTAAGCCAAGAGGCCATGAAATAAAGTGTTAACTGTAGTCACCCCTGAGCGCTGTGAGGGGCAGGGGCCTCGTAAGGCACCGTTTTAATTTTCTTCATAGTTTGCTGGATTTTCCGAACGTTCTGTAACCAGCCTGGGTAGCTTTTATAATCAAGGGGGAAAAATTAAAGTGCGATTGCATGTGTTTTTAAGGCCTGTTCCCTTTTTAAATGGTCTCACCAGATGTTGTTAGCTGGGCTTTCTGAGATGTGTGCTGAACTCTTCTTAAAGGCCCAGATTTACCCATCTACCGCAAGATACAAAGCTTTTTCGCATCACTTAGCATCAGCACCTCCTAGCTTGGGAAGACAGAAGGCTGGGAAAAGCCGAGGCAGGCAGTGTCCCAGGGCTGCTGTCATCACCTACTGCCCTCTGTGGCAGAAACATCTAGGGAAGGTGACATTCCACCCCTGACTCACGGGGTGACCATGGCCTCAATTCCCCCCATCTGTAAAATGGGGGCATTGGGCTTATCTATCTCTAAGGATCCTTCCAGTCGGGGCCATTCTAGAATTCAAGCTGTGATCGGACTCCAGAAGGTCTGGAGCTGGGACGTGGTTTCTAAATGGGACCCACGTAATCCTCAGTTGGTGGGAAAGTTCGAAAAGACCCTTCTCCATCTCTGTACTCAGCCCAGGAAGAGTCTACACCACCAGCCACAGACACAAATGCCCACAGGGGACCGACAGGTGACAGGGAAGACAGAAGTAGGCCAAGTGTGAGAAAATCACCCCTCCGGTCCCTCAGAGAGTGGCCCTTCACAGTCAACCTCCGTGTCCGGGAAGCAGTAGGGAGTCATGGGGCTGGGACACATGCCCCACCTCATCAGCTCCTGCCCAGCCTTGCCTTGGCCCAATGTTGCCGGATCTGCTGATATTTTAGTAAAGCCTCCCAATGTTTTAAAGGTTAGCCAAGCCAAATACGTCTGTGACTCAGCTACCGCCCAGCGGGTATCAGCTTGTGGCCGCCAGGCTCAACGATCGGGGACTCTGCCCTTGAACTTCTCCAGGCTGGAGGTCCCGAAACCAGGGTTCTGCTGCCCTGGCTGCCAGGAAGTGGTTGATCATGTCCAACGAAAACTTCTCCTGCTTTAAATCCCTTGTATTTGTGTGTGGGTGGAGGTAGGAGTGAGAATTGGCTCCTCATTAAAAAAAAACAAAAAAAACCTTTAGAAACTGGAAAAACAGCCCAGATGCAGTGAACTGAGAAGCGAGTAGGTGTTAGAAGACCCACATTCAGAAATCCAGTTCTGTCATGTGTCGTCTTGTGGGTAACCTTGAGCAAGTCCCTTCACCTGTCTGGGGCTTCGTGTTGTGTTTGTTCTTTTTGCTCCCCGTCCCCTTGGCCTTTGCTTTGGGGCTCACCGTCTGCCGCCCAGAAAACATAATGATAATAGCACTTATAACTAGAGCTGTTTACTGAGCAAGCTTCTGTATCGGGTTTTATCCTAAGCGTTTTCCTTTCTCTTATTAACATTAATTTTTTTTTTTAATGTTTATTTCTTTTGAGACAGAGCCACACAGAGTGAGAGCGGAGGAGGGGCAGAGAGAGAGGGAGACACAGAATCCCAAGCAGGCTCCGGGCTCCGAGCTGTCAGCACAGAGCCTGACTCGAGGCTTGAACTCACGGACCGTGAGAGCATGACCTGAGCCGGAGTCGGACGCTTCGCCGACTGAGCCACGCAGGCGCCCCCTTTTATTAACATTATTTGATTTCCTCTTCCCAATAGTTCTGTGGGATACGTATTATTATTCCCATTCCATAGGTTAAGAAACTGAGCCCAAGGCTCTCTACCACCAGCAAATAGTAGAGTTGGGGTATCGACACGCGCACATCACCACCAGCTCCTCTGCCCCTTCCCCTGCTCCCTCCCACCAGGCCAGGCTCTCCTTTGGCCACCACGATGGCCTTTTAACACACAGACCCAGTTGTGACCCTCACTGCTCAACAGTCTTGAGTGGCTCCCCACCGTCTTAACAACTCAGCCTGCCAATAGCGGCCATCGGTCCACACCAGCCCACCTTTTCCACTTCTCCTAACACACCTGACACCCTGGCCCGGGGTTTCCCAGTCACCCGTGCGCCTCGCACATGAGTTTTGTTTGCGGTTTACATACCCCAATTTATTTTACTCGATATGGACTGTTGCTTACTTCACATTTGTCTTTTCGGCCAATTTGTTTCCGACTTAAATCCACTGATTTTTATTTATTATCACGTGTTTGTGCTGCTTAAATTACCTTCCTAACACTAAGCTGAAAAATTGCAGAACAATAAATGTGTAGCCAAAGTCTCCCCCTCTCCCTCCCCCCTGCAGCCCCCCCCCCCCCGGGACCCATGGCAGGTGCCCCACTTTGAAAGCACTGCCTGAACTCGCGTTGCGCCCCTCCCTGGATCGGGTGAGCTCCTTCCCACCCTTCAGAGACCCACGCAACCCGCATCTCTCTTTTATGACACTTACGCTTCTAGGCAAAGAGAGGAACTCCCGCCGCCCATCACCCAGCCTGGAAATCTCAGTGAGTGGGCACTGTAACCCCAGGCCAGGGCCCAGGGCTTCGTCTTCTCTCATTCGGGTCCTTACACAGGGCCCGGCACCTCGGGGGATCGCCATGAGGTAAGTACTTCGGCAATGTTAAATGAATTCAATTGGATTCAACCGGCTTTTCTCAAAGCTTGGGATAGGATGGCGGGTAACCACAGGATGAGTTGGGGAGGACTTGAACTCTATGTGAAACCACAGAAAGAAAGTTACCCCAAGTCTCATCCAGTCCTCACGGTAACACCAAAGAGACGGTCTCAGTTCAGTGCCAGTATATCTTAAAGTACCTCCCAGACACTGAGCGATTATTCCTTTTAACAAAAAGAAAGCAGCCCCCTGGCTTGGAATCATCCACAGCCGACCTCTTCCGGCCAGAATTGACGGGTACAAATTCGCCTTCATGGTATACATTTTTATAGTGACTTTGTATTGATGACAATGGATACAGATTTTTCATGGTCTTGATATAAAATGTCTTGTTTAAATATATCTTTACGTTTATAAAGTGAGTTGATTCAGAGAGAAATAGTAAGCAAAGAATAAATAGTAGATTGTGTTATTTCTTTATAATACCTTATCCAGTAAGAGAAGATGCAAAAAATTTCACGATGATACTAAAATTTCAGGAACATGAACCTGGACAAGCCCGAAGCCCCTCTGCCATAAGGTGCTCTGACACTGGGCTGCTTCAGAACACTACATAGCCTTTAATCAAATCGTCCCATGAAAAGGACAACTGTGATGGGGCCACGAAGGAAAGATACATGGCATGCTAGAGTGGGACTTGCCTGAGGACACGATATTGGGGTGGAGATTTATAGGAGGGATAAGAATTCTTTAGGTGAAGGGGTGACACCCAGCAGGCACGGCATATGCAAAGGCCCTGTGGCGGGAGGGAGCTTGAAACATACAAGGCTCTGAACCAATGTCAGAAGCTGAAGTACAGAGGTGAGAGCAGAGAGGTAGGTGGGCGGTGGGAGAAAAACCTGTCCGTCATTCCTATTCAGGAAGGAGTTGCTAAACCTTTTCAAGGAGCACCCCTCCCCCCCCCCCCCAAGGCCTGACTCTTGATCTGAGAGTCTGGCGTTCAGCAAGGAATTTCTGGATTTTAAAAAAGTAATCACAGAGTTAGGTCCAAAACTAGGTAAAGCTTAGCAAACACTGCTTGGTGCAGGTGTGGCTCTGGGGTGGCCGTGACAGCTGAATGCACGTTCAGAATTCAGGCTATCCTACCTCCTGCTTTCTGGTTGGGTGACCTTGGGCAGCCACGGAAGCTCCCAGAGCTTCAGGTCCCCATCTGTGGGGGTGGAGATACCAGCAGGTGTCTTCTTAGAGCTGGTGTGAGCTACACGAGCTCCTGCACACAAATCCCACAGCACAGGACCTTGCCTGTGGTGAGAGGTGAATACCCATTAGCGTATGAAGGTTACCGTCAAACAGCTCCAAGAGCGATGTGCGAATCCACCTGTCCTGCGGGCGTGTGGATTTAGCAGCCTGGTTTTGCAATAGGTCTGCGGCACGCACGCCGGTGTGTGCCCATATTTCAGCGGTAGAGAGAGCAGGTGGGTAAGGCTTGTGTGCGCGAGAGGGCGCGTGGGTTCGGCCACGTAGGTCAGTGGAACGCGTTTTGGTGTGCTCAGCCTGGTGCACACATGTCTCTAAATAGAAGTCCGCGTGTGAACGTGCATCCAGTGAAAGCCCACACCAATTCGACACTCTCGATCACAGCTAAGAGGTTAAAGCCTTGGCCTGTCTTCAGAGCACTTTTCCAAATCCCCACGGCTCCCATGAATCCGCCCGGGGCTCTGGGGCCTGTTCGGGGCTGGGCTGGGATTCCCTGAAAACAGACTTTTCTTTCATCCCCTGTTCCCAGATATTGGCATGCGTGAGGTGCACACACACACACACACACACCTCCCAGAGCATCCCAATCTTATCAAGGTGCCAGCTGAGGAAGCCGCAGTGTGGAGGTATTGCCCTCCCCCTGCCCTCCTCCTAGGCCTGCCTCCCCACCCGATTCCCATGGGGCCACCTCATGTCAGGACTATGTGCACATCTGACTTTCCTGCCCTGACTCTCAAGTGGCAAGAGCACCCCAAATTTTGGTGAGCAGCTCCCTCCTCTCCCCTGGGCACCCTTAACCCACCTTGCCCAGCTCTGTGGGACTGGGAAGGGCCTTTAACCCCCCTCTCCACCCAAACCCTGTGCGGGGACACTGGGCGCACCCAACCCTCTACCCCAAGTCTAAAATGCAACAGCCGCGGCCCCCCCCCCCTCCGCCCCGTTTCGTCTAAGGCCCAAGGGCTGGAGTTCAGTTCTGATCTGTGCCTGCGATGGGGCGACATCACAAGTTCCCAAGTCATCCAATCTTATCCATCCACTTCGCGCCTCGATCGACGGGGCCCAGAGAGGAGAGAGGACCTGGCCAGAAGGGGGGTACCCGGCACCGCCAGCCCACCTCCCTCCCAACCACCCCCCCCCCGCCCCGCCCCGCGACCAGTTAACACGGACCGGTGGTGAGGTGCTGAGGGTCATAGTATAAAAGGTTGGGGTCTGCCCTGACACCCCCACCAAAAGGGGACAGCGCCAGGTGGTCCAGGCCTTGGCAGGCGTTACCATGATAACGGGCTTCTCCTGTAGCTGGTGCCGGGTCAGTCGGTCCGCGGGTCCGTCTATCCGGTGCGCAGCCCCAGCCCCCACCTAGCCCTGCAGCGAGCGGAGCGGGCTGGCCGGGAGGGGAAGGGGAGGCCGGGGACCCAGGGAGAGAGCCAGAGAGAGGCGGCGGGCCAGAGGAGACTGGCGGCAGGGCGAGGCGAGCGGGGGCCGCCGGCGACCGCAGGGGCGGGTCGGAGCGCTGCTCCCCGCGTGGGACGGGGCGGCGCGACTGCAGCCCTTTTGTGCCGGCGCCTCGCCCGCGCCCCGCCCGCCGCGCGGGATGACAGGCAGGCGCCCCCCTCCCAGCCAGGGCCTCGGCTGCCAAGAGGAGCTGGGCCGCCCGCCCGCCTTTCCGACCGCTCCCCTGCTCCCCTCCGTCCTCGCAACCCCTCAGCTCCCGCTGCACGGACGGGCCAGCCCCCCCCCCCCCCCCCGCCGGGTGAGGCGCTCACCGACCTGGGCATCAGCCCTGGGTTCGAGGCTCCTCCTCGTCTACTTCCCAGTTGGGCGATTTGGGCAAGTCAAGAAGTGTCGTAAGCCTCAGTTTCCTCATCTGTAACATGGGGGTGATGCTGCTGGCGATAGTGTGATGATGGTGATAGTATCTGCCTCTTAGGGTAGGTGGCGAGGAGTAGGCATCTGTCCCAACGTCCTTCCCCTGTGAAGCCCACGTTGCACACCATCACGATGGCTCAATTCAAGACTTAGAGGTGACAGTGGCTGTTGGCGAGTTCTGGGCTTCCTTCTCCTAGAAAATGACAGCTTTGTGACCTTGGTCAAGCCATTGTTCCTCCGCTTTGGAGGGAGACTAGAAACTAAATGATTTCTGGTTGGATGATCTGGGATTCATCCACATATTGACCAAACAGGGTCCAAGCCCTGAGCCAGAATAAGTCAGAGTCTCTGCCCTCAGGTAATGTATAATCTAGTTGGACAAGGAAACAGAGAAACAGGAAAAAAATAAGAATTGAGTGTGGTAGCTACCGAGGCAAAGGCAA